TGAATGCACTCATTCCTCCTCCCTGCTGCAGTCAGCTTTTATGATGAGCGTATCAGATCTGAGGTTTTTTTTGGTGGAACCATCAGAATCTCTTACATACACAGCCAGGCCATCTGCAAGCAGACATTTTTATCCATTCAGCCACTTTGGTTTCTGATTGGAGAATCTAATCCATTTATATTTACAGCAATTGTTGACGGGTAAAGACTTACTGTTGCCATTTTGTTAGCTGTTTTCTGGCTCCACTGTTGCTAGTTCCTTACCCTGTTTTCATGGCTTTGACATCAGTGTGCTTGGAATGAATTAGAGCTATTTGTGAATTACATACTAAAATTACAGTTAGAAAATCTACCGCTGACTATATATTTACCACGCCAGTGAGTTTTACATGCTTAGGTGCTTGGGTGCCGTTCATTTCCTTCTGAATGGTGTCTACCTTTTCTTGTACAGCAGGTCTAATGGCCAATTGCTTCCAGCTCTTGTTCAGGAAAGTATCTCCATGTCTAAGACAGCTTTGCTGGGTGTAGAATTCTTAGTTGACAATTATTTAAGAAAAAGTATTTTCAAGGTCGTCTGCTTCAGTCCCAAAATCGCTGCTGAGAAATCCAGTGCTGTGATGGGATTCCCTGCTATGCAGCTACTCTCTTATCTCGCTCCTTCTGGAGGTCTTTGTCTCTTGACTAGTCACATCGTGCCTTGGTATACTCCCACGTGGCGTCGGCCAATCTGCGGTTCTTCGGCGCACTCTGCTCTCAATACCCGGCTCTCAGCCCAGATTCACAGTTTCCTGTCATTATTGCTTTGAATACACTTTCCCTCTTTCTCGTCCCTGCTGGCACCCCCAAAGCGTAGGCACTGCGCACTCTGGTCGTGTCCCGTGGTCGCTGCTGCCTCTCACCCTTTGCCCTTTGCCCCGCTGATTTCAAATGCTCTTCGGGTTGCTGGTTCTCTCTTCCGGATGCCAGAATTTGCTCCTGAAGGTCTATTTTGAATTCTTTAGTTCAGTCATTGAATTTTTCATCTCTGGGACTTCTAGGGTTTTTTTTTTTTGGGGGGGGGTAGTGGTTTCTATTCATTGAACTTTTTTGTCCCTACATTGTTTTCCTAATTTCACTTAATTAGTTGTGTTTCTGCAGTTCACCAAGCATGAAGTGGATAATTTGAACTCCTTGCCATCAGCTCTCTACTTGGGGCCAGCTGACTCAGTTTACTAGACGTCTCTGGCGGTGGCACGCCTGCTGGCGTCCTGGACCCTGACCCACTGCGCTGGTGTCCACGCAGCCCTGCTTCCCTGGCTGCTGGTCTCCCTCTGGGAGAGGCAGGTCTTTGCCGCCCACTTTGGGCTTCTGGAGGCTGATGATATTCTTTGGGCGGGTCTGTTTGGGGTTAACAGCAGGCGAGCTCTTGAGGCTGGGTGCCTGCTGCTTGAGTTGTGGGGCCGCGCAGCTGCAGGGGCCCGCAAACGGGGTTGGGGGCTGGGAGACACCGGCGCTGCGGAGGGCTGAGACTCGGCCCCCTGCCTGGGCGGGGTCGTGACAGGCTCCAGGGTCAGGGAGCCCCCTTCAGGCCCCAGATCGGGCAGATCCTCATCAGACCGAGTTCCCCGTGAGGCTGTGCCACCAGCTTGGGCGCTGCCGTAGGGGTCTGTGTGAGAGCCCGGCGCTGGTTGTTGCGAACCCCGCCCTCACCCCTTCCCTGTCAGTCATCCCGGTGGCCAAGTCCCACAAATCCCCTGTGGTCCCTGTAGGGTAAGACCAGAGTAGGGGCTCCCAGGAAGTGACCCACAACCCAGAGGGGGCGGATGTCCACCTGCACCCTTCCCAAGGAGTGACCGCGGCGGAGGGAGGCCTGGCGGCGTGGAGGCCATGTTGGTCTCTCGTCTTGTCCAAATGGCCTTTATTTGACCTCTTCAGCGGAGAGGAGGTCTGCCGCTGAGGTGGGAACGGGCGTCTGCTCAGAGGAGGAAGTGGGTACAGAAGCCTCGAGGGCCCAGTGCCGGGCACAGAAGCGCTGTCCTCAGCCTTACTCTGCTTCTCGTCCTGCCCACGTACGGCTGTCAGTTCCTGGGGCTTTCGAAGTTTCTATGGTATAAATCGTATGGGCTGTGTCAACTGTAAACATTTCTTAAAATAGTGTACTCTCTTCAGGTCGGGTGAGTTTATCTAGCAGTAACAGGAGAATGCAACTGGGGCCTGCAGATGCTGGCCAACCCACGGGTGAGCCCGCCCAAAGGGAGGCTGCTTTCGCGGGCTCTGGGCGGGCCTGGGGAGGCTGTTCTGGGATAAGTCACTGGGGGGACGTGGGAGTTTAGGGTTGTGGCGGCTTCTCAGGGGCTCTCTGTTGCTGGCTGGAGCAAGCCTTTTCCTCCCCCGAGCCTGGCCGGCTGTGGACATGGCCGGCGCTAGCCCGAGCTGCTGCTGCTGGCGCTCCAGCCCTGCCAGTGCTTTCCCGCAGCGATGCCCCGCTCTGAGCCTTCGCCACTGCCCAGCCTCAGCTGCAAGCCAGGCACGGCGCCCGTCTGCTTTGCGGCCTCCGGCCTCGGCACTTCTGTCGCTTTTGTTCTTCCTGTCCTTGTGGACTTGCGTGTATTTTTACGTGTCCTCTTTCTTTAGTCTTTAGTGAGCTCTGGGTGAGAACAAAACTAGATGTGTTTAAACCCAGGAACTTCCACTTTCCTACGCCGCTAGTTTCAGAGTTCCTGGGCTTTTCTACACGATCGATCACCTGGGCTCTGCCTCACGTCGCCGCTGCTCCCGCTCTTCGCGAGGGGCCCGGGCCATGCTGCGGCGGTCACTGTGCAGCCCGGGTGCGCGCAGGCCGTGAGCTGTGCTCCGCCAAGTGCCCCAGACCCGTCTCTCGTGCACACGGCGAGCCCACCGGGCGCTGCCTGCAGCCACAGCCCTCTGCCAGGGGCTGGCTCGGGCCCCGCCCAGGCTCAGCGTCGCCGGCCGGCCCCCAGGGGCGTGGGGCCCCAGCCACGCACCGTGGCTGATGCGGACGGCACTCCTGGCTGTCTCTCGGCATCGAGTAACGTTTCAAAGAAGAGCCCGTGGCACTGTGCCGCAAGGTGGTGGCGGTGTGCCGGGGGGCACTCAGCGTCTGCCGGGAAAAACTCTTCCAAACGCCACCCGCCAGCCCTGTTTCAGAAACGCGGCGCCCCCAGCGCAGCGTGGGCGGCCTTGGGCCTGGCAAGCGTGCCATGCGGCCTCTCCGCCAGCGCAGCGCGGAGC